TTCCTGTACCCGGGTACCATCCCTAGTTGACATGCTTGGGAAGTTTCTGAAACGTGACACACAAGGGGGGCCTGAGGGTACCACGACCGAGCTGTAGACACCATGTGTGCACTATCCTCACAAGAGGGCACAGCCTAAGGGCAGCTCGAGTTCAACGGTGGATGCAAAAATCAAGATGCCAGCATCAACGAGAACAAGCGCCCATCACAAACGATGAAATTACCAGCACATACACACCATGCTCCAGGTTCAGGTGCTTGGTGTGCGCCGCATACAGCTGTTGGGCCAACAAGGTGCCAGCCATACTCCCACGTGCGGGCACCTCTGGGTGTCAACTATATCCAGCTCCCATGAAGTCAAAGTCTCTCTCAAACTGGATAATTTGTAGTCAAAAGAAATTACACATGGTCTTATCAATTCATTTGACCCGTGCCAGGTTTATGCACACATAAAAAGGAAAGTAAACCAAGCAGGTGTCCACAGCACGCCATTGCATATTCACAAACTGTGGAGGCAGCTGTTGCAGTGGAGCCTTGCTGGTGAAGCAACCATACCCTGGATGGGTCCCCCTGCCACGATGGACGACGAGGTGCCAAGGAAAAACAAGTAACTAGAGTTCTAATCGCGGTCCATCACCACACTCCAAAGAGCAGCACAAAACCCACATCGGGTATCCATCTCTTCAATGCCACTCCCACAAACCTAACTGCACACGATGCACTGTCCATCACTACTTTGAACCACAAGCCCTGCTTCAAGTGCACTATATGTTGGCGAAAATGCCAGGAAGCAGTCGGGTACAGGTGCCAATCAGCAAGGGTATCCCCTGTCTGACAGTACTTCCACCAAACAAGCCTCAATTCTCCCTAGGGGCTGGCCACCTATGCTGCCTACAAAACGCCAAGCGTACGACTGAACATTTCTATTGTGCTTGGCAGTTTCGCCACATTCGACTGTTTGGGCCTTCTGCCAGCAACACAAGCCCACAGTCTGCTACCACAAAATGGCATGGCACACCTCGACTTTCTCTGGCATCCCAGCGTCCCACAGGGGGCTCCTTCATCAACACCAAGCAGCCTCTTTCACTCCATTTGGGCTGAAGCAATCGTTGTACTTTTACATCTGGAGTTGTCTGAGCTCAAACATTCACCGCTCCATCAAAACACTGGCAAAGTTGCCTTCCAATAGCGGTTCAGCGGAACCCCCATCACGCCTCGGCTTCCGCTCTCCTTTCCGAAGGCATCAAATCCCCATAACACACCAGCGACCCTGGTCCCCGCTCTGTCGAGGAATGCTGTTTTCCCACTCTGAGACACGGATGAGACAGCGTCGCGCGGCCACTCCCGCCAACCTCACGCCCTCCGCGGCCGGCCTGCTGGCCGCCGGCAAACATACGCGGCCACCCCACACTACTGCCCCACGATCGCGCCGGCCCCTCCTCGCACGCTCTCCGCCGCCCCCGCTCCAGCAGCCGGGTCCCGCACGCAGCGCGCATCGCTCCGTCCACGCGCATGCCGCCCCATCATATCTTGTCCAGCTTGTCGCCGCGCACGACCGGGTTCTCGGTCGCGATCTTTTGACGCTCGGAGGCCTTGTGGTCGAACTCGCAGGCGTGCGCCTCCGGATAGCGGTGGGCCTCGCAGAAGACGCCCCCGCAGCGGCACTTGAACCCCATCATCCCGACCCGCTTCTTACAGGCGTCGGCCGTGCAGCGCCGCTTCCTGGGCGGACTGCACGCGCCGGAAGCCGACGGCGCGCCCGATGCGCCCTCCACCCCCTCCTGCTGCCCGCCGGAAGTCTGCCCGGTCGCGGGGCCGGGCGGCAGGGGGCAGATCTGGCCGCCAGGCGGCAGCGCCTCGGGCTCTGCTCTTTGCGGGCGGTGCGGCATCGCGGGCGCGGGGTCGGCCTCCTCCATCAGCGCGTCGCCGCCGGCCTTCGCGATGAGCTTGACGTCCCGGGCGGAGGTCTGGACGGTCTCCTTGTCGCGCTTGTCTTGCCGGTGGCCGAGGTCGCGGAAGCATTTCGAGCACATACCCCCGCAGCCCGGGTTCCTGACAGACACCAGCCAGCGGCCAGGGCACTCAGATGGATTCGCCGATAACGCCAATCGGGAAGGGCAGCGCGCCAACGGGCCCCCTCGTTTGCAGGGCCGCCACAGCAACGGCGCTGTGCATTCCAGGCCCCTTCCCCGTCCAACAGCGCCGTCCACGGGACCGGGAGAGCCTTCTTCCGCCCCGCCCACGGCACCCATCCCCCCTAAAAAAACGGTGGGGCTGCCGGCGGCGGCCATCCCCTCCCGCCCATCCGCGCCCCACGGCGCCGTCGCGACACTCACGAGAAGAAGCCGCAGTTGTTGATGCACAGGGCGGGCTGCTGCTGCTGCTCGACGCTGTCGCCGGGCTCGCCGGCCGTTGTCCGGTTCGCGCTCATCTCTGCGCGCTCGCGCCGCGCGTAGCCGCAGTCTTCAGCGAGATCACCCGAGCGGTGGGGGCCGGCCGGCGGGGGGGCGCGGGGGGGGCGCCGGGGGCAGCGGGGACCAGGCTCGCACGCCTGCGCGTGTTGTGGCGAACGGATTTTTCACCCCCCATGGGGGCGGGACCGCGGATCAGGTCATCCCGGTGTGTCTTGGACGCACAGCGTCCTACTTCCGGCCAACCGGCGAACAGGGGCGCCGGTTGCGGGCGCCGCATGCCATTGGGCGGGGCGCCAGGGGCGCAGTCACCGGAAACGCGGGCACTGTACACACGGTCGTGTGTGGACCGCCGGCCTGTGCACACCGGCGCACGCCCCGCCAGCACAGCGGCATGAGGCAATCAAACGGGGACGGTGCCCGGCACCGTGCCTGCGCTGCAGTGCCATTCTCACACACTGGTTTCCTCAGGGAGGAAATCCAAGCTGTGAAGAATCCTCACAGCCTTTTCTCGCTGTACTTACGGAGCAGCCCTGTTGCTTGTGCAGCGCGCGGTTCTTGCACCTGTTCGTAGGGACCTCAAGGTTTGTCAGCACCCCGGTCTTGTTTTGAGTAGTCAATGGTTACTTGTTTGCTGCACGGTGCTCCTGTTAAACATCCATTACTCACCTTTTTTGCACCCCTACACCCACAGCTGGCATGGCTTTGCGCCAGCACATATTTGCACTATTTTTGGTAGCCAGGGCACAGGGTATTTCCGCTGTCTCCGGGCCTCTTCCCTGCCCATATGGAAATCCGCTGTGGCATATATCGCATTTCATGCAGCCAGCAGTCAGGGCCATGCGCGAGAGCAACACCGAGCTGACCGGGAATCCGTGGGGACTTTACACGCCCATATCCCCGCTCCGCTTAGCCAAAGTTGATTCTGGAAGACTGGATTCTACGAAGCGGGTGTCGCGCTGAGAGCCACCCACCCTGTGCACCACCCTCTCTTTTCGCCGTTACAACAGCAGAATTAATTGGCTCCCTATCAGGTCACAGAAAGCATGTGCTCAGTCCCAAGGAACTGAGGAGCATATTCTGAAATTCTCTGGCAGAGGCCCCATGCTTCGATCGGCCTTGACCTCGCACAATATGCCTGCATCGACATTCTGAGATGTGAGTGGCTACTCGATGCGAAGGCAGTAAACCTGTTGGAATTTCATTGCGCCACAAGTGGTGTTTCATCTCACTTGCAGCGATGCTGAAAACCAAGCCGTTGTCGGTGATCATTGGCAGTGACCACTGGCGGGTTCAGTTCTGTTGCCAGCTAAGTTCCGTCGAGGATTTCAAGTTCTGTTTACGGTAAACAGGAGTGATAACCAGCTCCTGCAACACACCAACTTGTATCCCTCGGTCAGTTGCAGGAATTGGTGAACAGTACTTTGTCCTCGCAATATATTGCCAGAAAGTGGCCATGAGAAAGTGGCATTTCGAAGCTGGGCACCACACACTGCTTTCCCACCAGGAGATAATGATGGGCTGGTTAGTTATTTGCGCTGTAACACACACAGCGTATTTACGCTTTTATGCGCAAAAATGTATTTGCGCTCCCACCCGTAAACATTGCATAAAAAGTGCGTAAATACAGGCCCCATGAACGTAAAAGGGGGCACATCTAGACTCAGGGAGTCCAGGGAGTTGCAGCCAGACACTGGAGGGTGCATGAAACGAATTTTTGTTTGACAGCAGCGCTGCCCTTGCCGAGGGCGAGGTGGATATTTTTTGCGTATGCTCGAGGGGACGGAGGATTGACCACTGTATGCGATTTCATCATGTCACCTGAGTATCCCAGCGCGCCATAAAAATGCGTAAGTGTAGCCGCAAAAGTAGCTTCTTCTGTGTGTTTTTGCTTCTGTGCGTAAAAGAGTAAATCAAACGTAAAAACAAGCCTGGTGATGGAATCGATACCTGTGCGTCTTTAGTCGAATCAGTGCTGGCGTCAATAGCATGCATAGCATGTGCGCATCAAGGCACACGTTTGAGAAACATCGTGCACAATGACGACAGTCTATTAGGGACAAGAAATTTGAAACTCCTTTCGTACTCCATGGGTGCAATTTTGTTCCAATGCTATGAGCCTGCTCGTTGCAAGGGTCTTCGATTGGGAGCAACCCTGGGGAAGAAATGATTTGTCCACGGCTACTGCCGCGATCCCCATAACATGACACACTGTTCCCTGGAAAACCCACTTACCAATAGGCAAGTGATGAGACACCGCCAGAACAGCCTACATACATTGCATTCTTTTGACTTCTCTTGACTCTTTTAGGTCAGATACGCGGATGTCGTTAGAGAAGAGTCCCACCTTGCAGCGTCATCCCACATCTACTGCATGATTGATTCCCGTTGTCTGCAGCTCGAGTTTAGCCGCATTCTGTTTCAAGGCACTCGATAGCCTTGCTTGGAAAAAGGGTCCCTGGTGCCGTTGACCCCATCGCGAACAACGCGCGCGATGGAGATCATATCCGAGCAAGGAGACCAGGCGCAGGTACATGAAATGCACAATTTTGCGAGTCGGCACGCTCTCTTCCGATCTTTAGACTTGGATCAATTGTGGAGATCTTGTGCAAAGTGTTGATGCGCGTAGGCGCTGTGAAGCGCGGTTTGTTGGGACCTGGCCGTGTCTTCGAATGCACCCTTAATATGCAGTGTGGAGTGCGGGCACAGATGTGGTTAGAGGCGCTAGGGTGCATGTGCCCAATAATCAGAATTCCGATGACACCTATTCTGACGAAATTCTGCCAATGCAGCATTAGGCGCCGCGCTCTTGGCGCCATATCCTCCAGTAACGCGCATATCGAGCGCCGGCCTACAACAAGAGCATGCCAACGAAGTTTCCAGAAACTTGGGTACCGAGCGAATAGCTTGAGCGGTTGGAGAAGGCGCTGATGCAGGGGTTATGTTCACGATGTGTGCAAGCCATGAACATGCGCGCTGCACCGGCAGCTGGCACTTCAGAAGCAGACGATGTACATGTTTACAGGTGTATACTTACAGGTCACGACGCTGATACCTCCGCGATGTACAGGGTCCTGGAATTGCACTGGAGCGATGCAAAACGTCGAAAGGAGATGTGGCATCGTTCAAGAAGATGTCATTGGTGGGAACCCGCTATCCGCAGCTGCCCAAACACATGGGGGAAAGGCGTTTTGGAGCACCTTATGCCCATGTGCGAGTATGCTGATGTCGACGCAATGGTATCATAACCTACCGTTGCATCTCACGCAGAAAAACAAAAACCCTTTTGAAGATGTGTACGTCAAGCAACATCTGGAAAAATGGTGAGAATTGGAAGAATTCGGCCCCCCAATCCCCACCCCTTTCCCTCTTCCACCTTCCCGGAGGACGCAAATCTCACTGCTATCCCTGTCAGGACGCCATTTCGTCCTTTTTCAATTTTCACATGACAGAGGGCCTGCCCGGCCCACTGAGGCACTGCAAAGGAGATCCAGCATTTTTCTAAGCCTATGGCAGGCAGATAATTGGCCTCAATGCACTGCACGTTACGATAGGTCTTTAGGGAAAAAGCAATGGGGACACTGGGGGGGGGCGGATGCTAAGGATGCGGCTCAGTGGCGACAATTCAATTCGTTACCAGCTCCTGACGTAGATTTCTTGTCCACGTCCAGGGGGCTTCTGGACAACATGAGGACGCATTCATTTGCTTACCACAAGACGTACCATAAAATGCAATCCCAGGAATTTGTAAATGACTTCCTTAATGATCCCGTCGTAAGAGAGGAACTACAGGTGACTCGGAGACGTTCCTTCTTCAAAAATTCCGTGCCTGGGAAGAAAAAAATGCTTCCGTGTTCGTTGTGATCTCACTATTTGAGCATCGAATCACCATCCGTTGCTGAACGTCCTGGATCAGAAGTAGGAGCTTAAAGTATGCGAGTCTTACTGCTTTTGGTTGCGCGACACGGGACTGCAGGTTCTTCAACCGGGCGGGAAATGGGGTAGATTGACAGCTAATATAACGGACGTAGATTGCGAAGTTGTTCCTGCCACATCCACAAGGTGAGTCATCTGAATGGCAGCATGAGGTGATGCGGTATCAGAGGAGCCATTCGAAGCAGTACATCACGGCATACAAATCATGCAATACAGGATGCAATACATTTGGTCATATATGAAAGCGCTTGGCAGCAATGGCAATTGAGAACTTTGCCTCATTCTTCATTTTCCTCATTGTGGAGACAGTGTGGACGGGCTTGCATTTTCGACCATATCTTAATGTCCAGGCTGATGGATGATGCATGTTTCAAAGATCACATATATGCTGATGCAATGAGATGTAATGATACTATCAAATCGTTGACTCGCATCGCTCCTTTGAGATGACAATGTCCAGCGATATCCATACTCGTTGTTCTATTGCACAGCATTAGCAACCTACCACATTTGCATAAGAGATATATATTTGACACCACAAGCTTCCTGAATCCCGGGTGCTGCCACGCTAGTGTCCCTTGGTGCATTTGGCAATTATTCATTATGTATTATCGAAAATATAGAACGTTCCCAAAGCTGCGCGTTGTGCGCAATGTTTCATCAATCTACACAATTGCCTCTGTTGCCGGCCCGTTGCCAAATGCACAAGCGCATGTGACTTACTGGGCCCAAAATACTATGTCGTGACTCCTAGAGTGATCCGGCGCTGTTTGGGCCATCACCCTTGGTGCGTCTGTTGATTGATCTAGGAAAGACACAGTGGTCTTTGGTTTCGCTCACGTGATAGGGAAGTTGATGCCTTCCTGAGCCCTGTTTGTTTCGAACCTCAATTGGAACTGAGGGGCCCAACGCCACGAGCGGAAACGCGTTGCGGCTACCCGATTGTGGCGGGCAACGCGGAATGTCAGGAATGTTGCATCACCGGGCTCAAAGGCAGAAAGTGCCAATCTTCAGAGAGCCGTGGGAATGTTTGCCTTTGCTTTTACACCAAGATGGATGGGCCCATTTCTTTTGATCGCATTGC